AAACAGCGATTTAGGAATAAATAGAAACTACACTGGCACACCGTGACGTTACCTTTCTCTACCATTTTATCACATTGCTCCTAAAGTTTAAAGCTCTGGCAATGAGTCTGCAGGGGAAATGCAGGTGTGATTTAAGCATAAAGTAAAAGGTAGAACTTCCTCTCCCTCACTTGTTGCTGAACACTGCCCTCCAGCTAGCTGAAAGAAGGATACTATTGAGTTTCATCAATCTAAAACAGACAAAGTTTGCTGCTTAGAGATGGTTATGGTGTGAAAATTAAACGGGGGGTGAAAATATACTTTTCTTTAGTATCCAACATGAAATTTTGGACAAATAAGGTAGTCAAATTAGTGATTAGTATTTATTCTGGTGTCCAGTAAATGTGGAGCATCCATCAAAGACCATTTTCTTTAATCATAAAATCTAAAATGAATTTTAGATTTTATGTCAATTTTTGTCATAACCTTTCACATTATTTACATAAATAACCTCTGTATGTTTGCTATGAATGTACTGCAACTTCTTTAATTTCAAGCTACGTACATAATTGGAGCTTTATTTCAGATATCTTTCAACGGTCTTTTAGATTCATTAGTTTAGATGAGGCTTTGCTTAATCACCAACTATTAGATGAGAGTTAACTGGTTCATATTAAAAAGTAGATTCATTGAAGATCATCCACTCAAAATGTCATAATATCTGAAACAATGTCAAAAATTATGCTGACTTTACAGTGAATACTCTGTTTTAGGTGTGAAACACACAAATTTCCCCAGAATTTTGAAATTATAAGTTACCACAACTCACAATTTTTAAAATAAACAACATGATTATACTACGACATCAAATTCTTGAAGCTTTGCTAACATGACAGCTATTATTAAAAATAATTTTGTGGTTAAGGTGGATTACAACTACAAACAAACATGAATTGCACATTTTTCCACATAAAATAATCTTTCAGGTTAATTTTATGTTTTGAAAACTGTACCAACATATATTCAAAAGTTTCTTGAGATTAAAAGTAGTTGACAAATTATGACTGCCACTGCAAAAAAAACAAAACAAAAAAAAAAACAGCAAACTTAATAGATGACACACATGACCGTACTTCCACTTCCTCCTTTCTGGAGAAATTTTACACTGACCTTAAGATAGAGAGAAGCAAGAACAAACTTATGCAAGCATTTCGGGAATTACAGACGCAGAGACCTCAGCTGACTGCTGGGAATCCCCCCCTCCTGACTTCAGCTCACTGACAGGCCAAGTACCTGACAAAAAGTCAGCTCACTTACTTCCTATACCTGCCTGGATCCGTCCACCTCTAAGCGCCGCTGCAGCAGCAGGGGGAATCTGGTGTTTCTAGGATTTTTTTTTTTTTCAGCCACTTCTCTGAAAGCTGGCGGAAGGTAAAATAAGGTTGTCACGGCGACACGGTAGCATGTCGCTTAAAAAACTGTACAGTAGTATAACCACTTCCTCTCAGACCGGAGTACAGTGCCAAACCTGCACCAGATTTTACCTGCTTATCAAGCCGCTGCTGCACACGTGAGAGCAGCTCTAATCAACAGGTCTTCATCGTGTTCCCCCCCTCCACCCCCCGTTTTTGTTAAATCGATAATACAAGTTAGTGATCACACACTGCCAGCCCTGCTGAGTAAGTAAACAAGAAAGACAATGGTCGACAACAATCATAGCCGACTCACCAGTATCTCCAGGTGTTTTCATTCTGCTTCAGCTGAACTGGAAAGCTAAACTGGAGAAACTCCACAAAAGTTGCTTGTGGAAGAAAAAGTCAGTCTCTCTGGCCTCTTCTTCCCGCTCCGGTTTCCAGTCTGGAAAACTTGGTAAAGACACGCTGAAAACTTTTTTTTCTTCTTCTTCTTCTTCTTCTTTCGGGAGCTACCGCTTCAGCGGCTCTGTCCTCGTTACAGCCGCTCCGCTCTTACTCCGTCGGGTTCTCCGGATCAATAAAAACCGAAAAGTCCTCCTCCCCTTAAAAAAAAGAAGAAAAAAAATATGTACGTTTGTGGGTCCTCGCTGCTGGTCCTGGAGCAACTGGGAGCGTTTCAATCTGCTCAACTCGCTTCGGGGAAACAACCAACCGTCCCGATTCGAGAGGCAACCGAAAAGCCTTTCAGTCCGTCTCCTCCTCTTCAAGTAGTTTGGCTAACTGTCCGGTAGCTGCTTTACTCCGTCCCGGCCGCATCTTTCTCACAGTCCGGCTTCAAAGCTCTACTACTTGTGTGTCAGAAACGAAGGTTAGAAAGCAAACCTGTGTTTCTTCGCAGACTTTTTAGTGCTCCACTCACTCTCACACCACTCCACTCCGCGCTGCTCTCCTCCCCCACGCGCCTCGCTCGGTTCCTCGGGGGTGTCGTGTTTCGCTCGCTCTCTCCTGACTGGGGCCCGCCCACACTGACGAGGAGACAGGAGGGAGGGGGCTAAAAGTCGCGAGTCACGCCCACTCACCACGAGCCGGGGGCCCGCACTGGCGTCACTGCCGCACGCCGCGTTGCCAAGGAGACTGTCGCAGCGCGCTGCCGTGCTGACATCATATCCGAATGCTGCGAATGGAGGAGAGGCGCAAGAGCGGCCTGGCTCGCTGTGTTCTTTTGCGTCAGTCTGAGATAATTAGACCTTTTCATATCAGCATAATTACACTTGTTAGATTACATGACAGCGTCAGGTGGTGATTAATACTGAAATCAGAGCGCTTATACGCGCCATTGCTGCCAACTTTTGAAGTTCTGTGTTAGAAATTCACTTCCTTTCACATTAAAATGTATGTTTTGTCCTTTTTATTTGTTTGCATGTGTAGATTAGGCATTAAAGCTTCATTCATCTGTGTTTGCCTCCAAGAAAACACAAGTTTCACATGTTCAAACAACATTGAAAACCTGTTGGAAGTCAATCCATTGCAGGGCCAGCCAAAGCCCAAATGAGGCCCAAAGCAGAGTTTCATTTGGGGCCCACTTTCAGTAAGCCTTCCAGTCACCAGATGGGTAGTAACCAGTTACATACACTGAGCTATATTTACCTAATTAATATTATGTAGGAAAAATAAATAGTAGTTCTACTACTCCATACTTTTTACTTGAGTTATGTTATGTCACTACTCTTCCTTGAGTAAAAATTCTGGATACTCTCTGAATAACTTCACTAAATGAAGAACAAAGATGTGTTAACCTGAAATGTTCCAGACGTAGATAGAAACCTACAGTTTATGCTAAACTTTTTGTTGTGCTATTTGGAGATCAAGAAGATACAGTAAACATCTTACAGTCTCACTAGAAGTACTTTACCCTGTTCTAACATATATACACACTACGTACAATAGTATACATTTTATACTGGGAAAAAAAAATAGATTCGTGAAAAGAAAAGAAGTGAAAAGAAAAGAAAATACTGTATTTGTCCCCAAGTGGACAAATTCAGTGTCCAACATAAGTTGTACTGGAACATAGAGATATGTTGCATTTAAGAATAAATATAAAAATCAAATATGCATAGATTTTAACCTACTGATAATGATTTATATTAATTCTATTTTTATACTTAAAGACATAAAAGGGAAAAAAAATACATATACTCAATGGTTTTTGATGGAGGATGTGTTTCTGAATCCATTAGAAAATAAATAAATTACAAGACTGTCCCCATTTATGCATCAAATCTTATGTCCTTAACATTTATTTATGGTTTAACTAACCCAAAAAATATGCTGTTGGTTGATGTGTACAGGAAAATGATGGAAGTTATTACTTTTAAACAGTTTTAAAAAAAAATCTGATTTTTGAATTTGAAAATTCAATTCAGTCTATGAAGAACACAAGGACAAATATTAAACTGACTCTATGACTAAAAGTGTTTTGCTTCACACCATTCACTTCATTAGATGGATAAAATTATTATTATTATTATTTTTTTTTACAATAATATCTCTGTCACTACAGCAGCTTCCTAAAATGTCTGATAAATACCAAGAAGTGAACATTTGACATATCCTATATGCTGCTCAGGACACACTATACCTTCCAGCTGGATGGTAAAAGACCAGAAAGCATTCATCCATTCATAAAAAATGACTAGCCATTCATTGGCTTCTGTATGTTTTTATGCATTTTATTTTAATGTTACCATCCAGACATAGCTTCAGATATGTAGAAAGACTGGATATTTTACCAGTCCCTCTCCACGTGTCCATTGTGGCAGCAAAATATTAAAATATGCATTTCTCATGCTTCTCAGTAAATACCTTGGATTAACTCATTTGCACTTTGGGAGTCATGTCCGGTGAGCAGTCGTCTCAGCCTTTTGGAAAACAGGTGAATATCCTCAGGAAACAAGAGAAAATGACTTGTTGCCTTTTAATAAAGCGCTTTGGATGATTTTCAAGGTTTAGCAGCTGCATGTTTTCAACTTCAACACTTGCCTGCATGTTCTTTCAGAGTCTAAGCTCTTTTGTAACAAAAAAAAACAACAACAAAAAAAACATCTATGTTTAAGAATATCCACTATGATTCATCAGTGTCTATTTGGATAGAAAACTAGTTTGCTATTTAGATTTATAGCTTTATTAGTGTTTTATTATTTCCTATAATCACTGCTTAATAAGGACAATAATATATTTTTATAGTGCCATTTTCATCACATGATCTGAAAGGGCTACAAATACTAAAAACAGTGCAAACAGTTTATTTAAAAAAAACACCTGAGAAGGTGAACAAATCGTTTTGCCAAAAGGACAAAAGCCTTAAGACATTTGTTTAGAACAGTCAGTAAATTGCAGTGCCCTCATTTTCCAGTTTATCTATTTAACTATGGGATGGTCAGAAAGGATAAAATAATAATAATTTTACTTATTTTTTCCCCATTAATTTACCAGCAAAGCATGTTGAAATTGATATGCTACCTTGCTGTTACAGTCCACTAATTTTATGTTATTTGGTTTTGCACATATAAAAGCATAACATTTGAAAATAAAACAATACCAGGCTTTTTTTATATTACATTTTATAAACTGCTTTATACTACATTTCACTTATACATTTATTGGCCCCTAAAACTTATACAGTATACTCATTATTTGTTTATAATTGACATGTTTTAAGTTCTTCATTTTATTTTAATATGTTAAAATAAAATGATGCAGAAGAAGCAGCTCTTGAGGAATGAAATGCTTCACTTTGCCTGCTGTAAACACAGCCATGACAATGTGATACATACTGAAATCAACAAAACCAACCTTACTGAAAAGGAAAAAAAAAAAAAAAAAAGATGTGTAAATGAATTTGAGTCATCATTTGTAGAAACTCTGTGTTTTCCTAAAACATGCAGTCAGCACGAGCTCTATTCTGTATTTCTCCCACAAACATCACAAGCGGCTGTGCTGTGAGCCGTGGCGTTCATTTGCATACACTGTAGGTGTGGGCATATTAAACATCCTCACATCACAGATATATGTAATTCGTAAACGCTCTCTTTCTCCAAGGTTCAGCATGACCTGTTCGACTGAGACCACCGGTGTTGAGCCCCGACTTGCTTCCCGTCACCTAGAACACGCTGACCTTCTGCTTCCTCTTGAGCCGATAGCGAAGGGGTGAGGCGTCAAACATGGGAGGTGAAGTGAATCTCCTTTTGTGCCTTCTTGAACACTGGCACCTGGCTGAACAGGATGGAGGCCTGATATGTGTTTATGTGCTTTTTTTTTTTCTTCCCAAATGCACTGTTACATCAGCGATACACACCACTGCCCTGCCCTGTCAACAGGATAAGACAGTGGTAGTAAAACAAAGTAAACAGAGTCCCCTGGCAGCAGCGTCCCGCTGGGGTGATTTACAAACAGGATTTCTCCTCCCTTCGCTGCCCATTCTTTGACAGCCGCAGGAAACGGACTCTGCTCTGCCAGATAAGACACTAAACCAAAAGAAAAAAAAAAAAACATTCAATTGGACACTGACGCTTTTGGTTTTGGAGTTGCTATCTCCTGCAGGGGCAGGACAACCACAGAAACAAACCTGGATGATAACTTCCCACACTGCAGCTGACAATGGGACAATAAGGGCGCACTTTTCTCCTTCCGTCACTGGACGCTCTGTCACTTCCTCCGGCATGCATCTAAAACACTACATCTCCATCCAGTGCTTTTTAAAACTTTGAGTACCTCTTGAAACTTTTCACATTTGCTCATGTTGCAACCATAAACTTCCATGTAAGTTCTACGACAGACCAACTGAGAGTAGTGCATAATTATGAAGTCGAAGGAATATGAAACATAGTTCTCAATAATTTCTACAAATAAAAATGTCATGTGTGAAATTATATGGATGATCAGTGAAGGCTTCAGAGGTTTGCTGGAGAATGTTAGAGGCCAATGATATTTTTAGAGGCTCTGCAAAGATCTGGTGGGAGAATCATGTCCCCCACTTAGTCAGGCTTTATGGGAAAGTGGCAAAAAGAAAATCCTTGTGAAAGCAAGTGACAGGAAGTCTCATTTCCCTTTTACCACAATCCTTAGGAATCTGATAGGAGATTGGGTGACATGGTAGGAAACAGAAGTTGCACAACATCCTGAAAGCTAGCTCCACCTTCAAACACGGTGGTGGCAGAATCATGGTGAGCAGGTGTGGAAGGATGAAGCTAAATACAATACAGCATTGAATGTTGTCCGGCAATATTGGATGGACGAATCCAGCAATTTTTATTAAAAAGCAGACTTTAGCATACTCATTCAATACATTGGCTAAATACAGCCAGTGTTTTCAAACAAACACTGGCTCACATCCTGTTTTAGCTGTTAAAAATGGACAAAGGTTTTGTAAACAAAAAAACAACCCCCCCCCTACAAAAATTAATAAATTGTATGCCTTTCTTTCTGGACACATTTGCAGTATTCTTTCCAATATCCTTTAATCTCTTAGATCTGCATTGACTTACGGATACATTATCTTATTGACTTAATTAAACTTAAAAACTTCTCACAATTTCTTAGCGAAATTTCTCAAATCCATTTCCTTTCACTTCACAATTATGAACTAATATCACATAAAACTACATTAAAGTTTGTGATTATGACCAGAAAAACCACTAAAATCCTTTTGGCTTTGAATACCTTTGTAAGCTGTAGCACTGCATATGAAAGTAAAAGAGAAGAAATGAGCTAGAGGACAAGTTTTCCAACAACATGGTCACATAAGAGATAATTAGCACTGCGTGGACAGATGGCGGCCTCTGTTCTATAATTCTGGGTCTTTATACCTACGTGTGCGTGTGTGTGCGCATGCTGCGGACTTGTGTGAGCGTGCACTATTGTAACTCAAGTGCAGCAGATGACATTTACAGACAAATCTACAGCACAGTACATTCTGAACACTAATAAACACGGCGGTGCGCTCAACCCGCTCCCTTTCTCCCACTTGTGTTCTCCTCCTCCTCCTCCTCAGCTTCCTCCTCCTTGTGCACTCTGATTGTTTTTCTCCCCATTCTGTCTTTGCTGTGCTTTGTCATCCTCCACCGCCCGTCATACACGGCGTCCACTCTCCCTTCCTTCACTCTCACACCTCTTCCTCCTCCTGCCTCTGCCTCTGCCACCTCTCTGCGCCTCCACCTCCTTTCCTCCTACCTCCTCTCCTCCTCAGGTAATGGTTTCACCTACATGCCTGATGGATGGAGGAAATGAGATTCATTTTGTGTAATTTTGCTCAGTAAAAAGATTTTTTTATTTTATTTCAGTAATTGTGCTAATTTGTGAACGTAACCTCAATCGGACATTAATGAGACCTTGACATCGTCCACATAATTACGAGGCACAGACAGAAACGATTCGCTCGTTCTCCAATTAATGCTCATATGTTGGCTTTATTCAGCTGCAGATGCTGATCCTCTGCAGTGCATCCATCCTGATAAGTTCACAATTTGGATCCTAATTAGACAAAAGATTCTTCTAATTAACATGACTTTTAAGAAAGTATAGCTGAAGTTTTTAAGTTTTAAAAGAAAAACAAAGGTATAGACAAACTTCTGTGACATTTTCTTATTATTTCTGTTGTGATTTGTGTGCTTATTGTCATAAATAAAGCAGCCTTTGATTCTAACTTTATTCTAAGCTGTTTGATTATACGGTTCCACAAAGGTACTTATGCCTCTTGAACCTTTTTGCTTTTTCCTCTGTTGAAACCACAAATGTGTTATTTTGGGATTTTACATGACAGACAAACACACATTAGCTCATAATTGTGCTGTGCAAGGACATTTACATAGATTTGAGTAAATACAAATCAGAAAAGTGTGGTGGGAATTTCTGTTCTCCTCCACTGAGTCAACACTTTGTAATTCACTTTTTGTTGCAATTAACCTCCAGATCTTTTAGATGGAGATTAATTGTGAACAATCAAAAACGCTTTCAGCTCAGGTTATGTGCTGATTATGCCTGAAGAAGAAAAAAACGTGAGATGTTACCCCACATGTTTGTCTTTATCCCGAAGACTAATAAACTCAAGTTATTTTTTGTTTGTTTGTTTTGAGAAATCCACGAATAGTCATACAAAGTGATTATAAAACCAATGATGGTAAATTAATTATTAGACATTGTGAGGTCTTCTGGAGGTGGCAGCATGGGCTGGAGCCCCAGGTGGGAGAGAAAGGACTGACATCCCTCCTGGTGGTGGGCAAGGCAGAGTAGCCCTGGATTATCATTTGATCCATGTCTGAACTTTGACTGGGCCATTATAACATATGAACAAGCTCTATTATGTTCTAGGTGTATGTTTAGAGTAATTTTTTTTTCTGTTGGAAAGCAGTTTTCAAAGGGTCACCTTTGAGAAATGTAAGTGTATTTATCTCCATTCAACTTCCTATTAAATCTGACCAGCCTCCCTGCCACTTCTAACCACAACATGATGCTGCTGTGGCTTCTTCACTGTTGTCCAGCCTGAACCCAAGTCTGAAATTGTTTCCATAATATATTTTTAGCATTCTGTTTTTACAGATGTTTCAACTGGTTGCTACTGCCGTTTCCTCTGGCTCAACAGCAATCCCGTTTTGGGTTAGAGACAGTTTTTACATGCTAGGGCCACAGATTGGGTGGTGAAACACAAAGAACTGGTGCTTTGTAAACTCTAGCACCAGTTAAGCACCACAACTGGTTTGGTGGAGACGACCCCTAACAGGTTTTCTCCTCAGTACTCCCTCATCCGTCTTCCTATGCATTTAGACCAGCTTCCCTGCTGAGGAAAAGCACCTCAAACCAGGATGCTGCCCATGGGTTTTTAATGTGGGCAGCCTGAACTCAAGTCACAGTTGCATTTCTGCCACACATCCCATTTTACTTACACCAAACAGATAAGAGAGATTTTTGGCGTTTTCCTCCCACTCTTCCCTAAAGGACAGCGTTGTGTAGTGTACAGCTAATTGTGTTCGTGTCAACAGATTCTTCCACCTGAGTTGCAGTTTCTCCAAAGTTATTACAAGCATCTTTTCTGCTTCTCTGATGAATTAACATGGGGTACTGAATCATAATGCCTGAAAATGTTATTTCAGCTAAATAATTTTGTGATGTGTCTCGAACTTTTGAAGCTTCCAAACTGATGAAGAAGTTGTGTTTAGTTGCTGGTATGACAATAAAAACACTATTAAACAACTGCAATCAGTTTATTGTTTGCGTGTTTTGTATCTCTGCTAAGATTTGAAGCATGAATACTCGTCATGACCTATTTTCGTGTTACTTTGATTTCTTAGTGAACTTGGTGATTTCTGATGCCCAGTGGGGGCGATCCAACCTCCACTTTGGAAACCTCTGTTTTATGCAACAATATCGAATGCTTATCTCATACCCATTTGTAGGCCACCAAAAAACCCACTTCAGAAGTAAAGCATTAGTCAGAAAACTAAAGATGCGTGAAAAGTTGCTCTTTGCACCAAAGAGGAAGATGTTTCCCCACATCCGCAGTGGCAATTTCTGGTACCATTTATTGAAATGAAATTCAAATTTCCAGCCGTTAGAGCTGAAGCGGCATGGGACGTGAACATGCTAATGGCTCTGACAGACAGTGCATCACAGAGGAGCCTTGTATTATTGGCTCCACATCATCTGTAACTCCCTCCATGTCCCATCCCGCCCTTTTTTCATCACCCCCCCCACACACTCAGCTTTATGCGACTCTGTCCGTTCCTAATCAGAATGACAGACAGACGCTCTGCAGAGAAAGACGAAGAGAATGAAAGGGAGAGCTCAGATTTTGTCGCTGCAGTGTTTGTGTGCGTCTGAATACACTCCAGACACATTTTCCTATAGATTCAAACCTTCATTCATATACCCCCACACGCTCCCCTTCATCTTCTGAGAAGACTGAATTGATGCATCCTCTAAACCAAGAGCAGGCATCGCGACAGAAATCTTTGCCAACCACTTGAAGCTGACATATATTTTAGGGTTTAATTACCAAGGATCTTAAAACCTCAACATGCTGTTTCTTTTCAGTGGACATCCGTGGCGCAACTGCATACCAGGCCTTACAGTCAGCACTGACACATTCACTGGTTTCCTCCACAACGCAGATGGCTTGAGTCTGGGTAATTACCGTGGACAATGGGTGTGGTAACCCACTAACCAGAGCCACCGCAGGCATGGCAGGCACACTCAACGTTCACACACTTGCATACATGTTGGATGCAAAACCTGATTTCTGCAACAAGCGGGGACCAGGCGGGGATTATAATTCCTGGACGGGGCGTTGAACAGCCAACAGAGGTGTAATACAGT